ATTCTTGTAGCTCCTAAGTATACTGTCTATTATACCATTATCACACATCCAAACAATTTGATGTGGTACACTATTTATTTCCTTATTTCTATATTTTTCAATAAGGTGACACTCTAATACATAATGTTCTAAGGTGTGGGCGGACGGCATACTGCATAATTTACACTCCTTATCTTTTTCACTGACATCAACACCGTATTGCCAGATATATTTATATCCTAATCGTAATCTCATGTAAATTGAATCCTTCCAAGTAGACTTTCCTTTACCATAAGTGAAGGACGAATTTGTATTTATTATTGAATAATTCTTAAGTGTGTTACTACTGTCCACCATTGCCATTCTCTTTATCATTTCTTCACCCTCCTGAATCACCTTGAGTCTTGTTTTTATTTGTTTCAAGGTTAACTGACATACAACATCAACAAGAGTTTTTTCAGTGGCTCTCTTCGCTATGTCATCAACTACCTCATTCAACAGTATCCCCACATGTGAAGGGATCCACATGAATCTTACTTTATACCCAGTTTTTTCTAGTCTCTTAACATTCTCTCTACACTCTATCACAATATTCTGATATACTGGGCGTCTGCTATTTAAAGACTCTAACGCTCCTCTGCTGTCAATAAAGAAGCAAGCATTTTTTCCACATTTGACTACTTCCTGTAATCCTGCTAATACTCCTTGGAGTTCAGCCTGCGTTGAAGAGACATTGTCAGTTAAGCGGCGTCCAATAACAGTATCTACAGTGCCGATGTCAGTGTACTCCCTGATCAAGACTCCACATCCTGCCTTCCCATCCCTAGCTACTGACCCATCACAATATACATGTAGAGTGTTTTCCGTAGGCAGTTTTCTAATTATACAATCATATGTTGCCCTCAGCTCTCCTATTTCATACATACTTTTTTTCTTATGCAAGGGAGTAATTACTACATCTACATTACAATCCTCCCATGGTGGTGTAAATTTTCTCTTGGGCACAGCAATACACTCTGTAATAACATCATACTTTATAACATTATAACATAATTTATTCATATATACTCTCTTCTTCATCATACACTGTTCACTACTTCCCACCTTTTGAACGTTGCAAAATACGTTGAGGAGCCTATACTGTGCATGAAGTGTTCACGTTGGGGACATATGGCATGGAAATGCCAGTTTGACCCCAGGTGTCGGTATTGTGGGAAAAATCACGACTCGCGAGAGTGTAGAGTCAAGATTGAAAGAAGTGAAAAGATTATCCCATTTTGTTGCAACTGTCGAGGCAGCCACAATGCTGGTTCCTCTCTATGCCCCATGAAGCCTCATCTGAAAGAGACTAGAACGGGTCCTACAAGCAGGATAGATGTATCCTCGCAGCAAGGAAAAATTGTGCAAGAGGAACATGGAGGAAACAGTTGGAAGCCAACGGCAGCCCCTATGATCAATGTGTGGGAAAAAGGGACGGAGAAAGTAATGAGGATGGAGTTGAATCTGCAGAGTATTGGGGATAGAATTGCAGAGATAAATGTAGCCTCTGCCATTAGATTAATGAGAGGTGGGGGAGCTAATGAATTAATCCTCTCGGTTCAAAAGGTGGGAAGTAGTGAACAGTGTATGATGAAGAAGAGAGTATATATTAATAACTTATGTTCTAATGTTATAAAGTATGATGTTATTACAGAGTGTATTGATGTGCCCAAGAGAAAATTTACACCACCATGGGAGGATTGTAATGTAGATGTAGTAATTACTCCCTTGCAAAAGAAAAAAAGTATGTATGAAATAGGAGAGCTGAGGGCAACATATGATTGTATAATTAGAAAATTACCTACAGAAAACACTCTACATGTATATTGTGATGGGTCAGTAGCTAGGGATGGGAAGGCAGGATGTGGAGTCTTGATCAGGGAGTACACTGACATCGGCACTGTAGATACTGTTATTGGACGCCGCTTAACTGACAATGTCTCTTCAACGCAGGCTGAACTCCAAGGTGTATTAGCAGGATTACAGGAAGTAGTCAAATGTGGTAAAAATGCTTGCTTCTTTATTGACAGCAGAGGAGCGTTAGAGTCTTTACACTTCGATGATGTTAGTGCCTTGATTGAAGCTATTGACAACAAATTCTCTTTTATTATACTTACTGAAACGTGGTTGAAAAAGGATACTACTCAACTCTTTAACATGCCTAATTACTCGGCAATTCACAACTGTCGTCAACTTCAGAGAGGTGGTGGCACTGCTCTTTACTACCACCAAGAACTAACATGCTTAAAAGTAATTAGAACCAGAGACTGCTGTGGGGAGTATATCTTCGCCAGTTTCAGAGTCAAGGGTGCCGAGTCTGTCCTCTCTGTGGGTGCAGTCTATAGAATTCCTAACACTGATGTGTCTGAATTCAACTCAAACCTTAGAAATCTAATACTAGATAACAGACTGAACAAAAACCATCTAATTATCGCAGGGGACTTTAATATTGACCTCTGCGAGCCAGAACACCCTACTGCTGTTAGCTTCCTCAAACTGTATGAATTCCTGCTTCCTCATACCCTTAATCACTAGACCTACTAGAATCACTGATAGCACTGCCACGACTCTAGATCACATCTGGACCAACATAACCTCTCCGCTTACTTCAGGTATAATCACCGATAGCACTACAGACCATTACCCCACATTTCTCTTAACTAACATTATCAAACCACCTCTTGAGTCAAGGGAGTTAAGCTTTAGGCTGCACAATGAAACTGCTATAAACAATTTTATAACTGCTGCTGATAATGTCAACTGGGAGTCCGAGTTAGGTAACATAGGGGACATCAACCTAGCAGTGCAATCTTTTCTTCAAACAACTCTTAGCCTTTATAACACCCACTGTCCTATGCTTACACAAGCAAAAGGCTTAACAATCCTTGGCTTACAAAGGGAATACTTAAATCCATTAACAAAAAACACGACCTTGAGAAGAAGTATAGGCTAGGAACAGTCTCCAAAGAATTCTCAAAGAATTACTCGTTATTGCTATCTAAAATAATTAGACGAGCCAAAACTAAATACTATGAACTTGAGAGATACTGACTGACTGAAGACATGTTCAGACTGACTGACCTTCTTGTTGTTGTTTGAGATTCATCTACTCGGAACCAAAAGTTTCAAGTAGCACGGGCTATGGTGAGCCCGTGGCAGCCCGTCCTCCAAACAAAGACCCAAAAGTGATTCCATGCACCCGCCAAACCACCCTGTTTATGAATGAAAAATGGTTTACACACGACTTAACTGATCTCGTTCGAACACTTCCGGAACAAGTGCTTCACTGACGAATTTTGTTCGAACCACAACGCTGTAAATGCTTCACCCACGTACTACAAATACAAATAATCGCCAACAGAACCTAAACACCTAATCTAACCTATGCCTGTATATACACAATATGCTAATATATTATAATATTAATTTATATTTCAGAAAATTCTTGTTTTGAATGAACAGCATGTAAAAATTTATGAATGCGTCTGTGGGGTCGACCGCTGGATGGAATGGACTTGAGTCGAGGACGGGTTGGGCCGTGGACGACGACCTGCTGTCGACGGCTTACATTATATATATATCTCCCCGAAACGCTATTCGTGCCCGTTACGGGCTATATTTTACGGGCTATTCATGCCCGTGCCACCTTTTGGGTGGCTTAATCTTCATCAATCGCTATTCGTGCTTGACGGGAGACATCTCCCGTCACGCAGGGTGCAGTCGCACCTCCACAGATCTCCAGTATCAGCTGTTGATACTGGTAATGGCTCAAAAGGGCCACCACTTACGGGCTATTCATGCCCGTGCCACCTTTTCGGTGGCTTAATCTTCATCAATCATCAATCGCTATGCGTGCTGGTGGCTTTACAAGAATGTACAAATATTTAATGTTATGTACTCTCATAAACCCAATGTACCTGCTTGTATATAAATAAATAAAATAAATAAAATATTAAAACCTTTCTCACACTTACGGGCTATTCATGCCCGTGCCACCTTTTAGGTGGCTTAATCTTTATCAATCTTTATCAAACCTTTCTCCTCACCTTGCCAAACTGACCAACATCTAGCAGGTTGGGAAGTGATTAAGTGTAACTAGTTGTACGGAAAGATATATTAATTGTAATTATTGGACCTAGGATAGGTCCAATAATGCTATAATAAATTATACTATAAATGATGATACTATAATAAATTATACTATAAATGATGATACTATAATAAATGAGTCAGGGAGAGAATTATCAGGAAAAAGCGCCAAGCCATTACGACTATTATATATTATTATTATTATTATTATACTTGAAAGGGGTCAGGATAGGGAATTGGGATGGGACGGTGGGGATGGAATGGTGCCCAACCTCTTGGACAGTCGGAGATTGAACGCCGACCTGCATTAAGCGAGACCGTCGCTTTACCGTCCAGCCCAAGTACTTGGGCACATAATAAATGAACTAAACTAAAAAATATATATTTTTTAAAATAATAATAGTTAACACCAAACCTATATAATTTAAAATGTGTAAATTCCTCATTTATGTTCTAAATAATTATGTCACTTCTGTTCCTGTCCTATATATTAATCAAACAATAATACAATTCTAAACGTAATTACATTAATAATTAGAATCTTATCTACATTAATTTTATATTGTATGAACGTTTATATTGAGGGTGTCTTATTTTAGTAAATATTTATAAGCATGCTCGTTGTAAAAAGGTAAGGTTCAGTGATCCTTATTTCCTAAGCGCTAGTAGGAGTTAAGAATGACGTCATCAAAATTTGTTTCTTATTATTGAATTATTATTATTAAAAATACAAAAATAATATAGTCGGAGAATTATATAAATAAGAAAATTTAAGGTTTTCTTAATATTAATTATATAAACTGGCATACACATGTTATAAAATGAAATGGAAACTAGTGACGTTTTCATGACGTCATTAGTTTCTCTCCTCAATGCCTAGGAAAAACAATACAAACCAAGTCCTACATTGGAGAGCACGTGAGATCGTGCGGTGTTACCCATATGCTTCTGGCGCTTGCTATTTACAGGCGGGATTGTATAATTGGACTCTCCTAGTGGTCGAGTAGACGAAAGAAGACTTTCAGGAACACAAACAAGTTTGGTTAAGACACGAGCAGCATGGCGGTAAGTATTTGTGCTCGTAAAATCAAATCGTTTTCATAATCTTAAACCATCCAACTTTTGGATGGTTCGGCAAGCTAAATTTGGCTGCCAACTAAAATGGCAGTAATAAATGTCACCAAGGTGTGTGATGTTGGCAGGTTCAGCGTGTCTGATATTAAATAATGTTTACACAAGGTCCTTGTAAGTCAAGTATTGGTTGAGATACTCTTTAGCCCATCATGGTCCAGTTGGTAGTGCCTGTGCCTGAGAAGTTTGGGTATGCGGGTTCGATTCTGTCGTATGACTGCAATATGTTCGCTTAAAGTTTCTTCTTTTGATTCATACTATAAGTTTGCAATAAACTTAATATAACTGTTTTTCAGTCGGCTGTCAACATCGACAACTTTCTAAAGTGTCTGGTAATGGCACCTTTTTCCCTAATACAGTGCACTAATTTCATTACAGTTGGCACTGTTATCATTACAAAATGTCTGCGTTGCATTGTCTGGGTAACGATGAAGTGATAGTCAGGTTTTATGGCTTTTGATGTTTTATTTACACACTTTAGGAAGAAATGAGCCTAATGAATTTGATTTTCTGTATTAAGTAATAATGGATATGTTCATTAATAATATAGGCATTTAATATTGCTATGAAAACAATTCTGTAAGACAGAATGGGAAAGCATGTCATTTGCACATTTATGTAAGTTGACCATGAAGTACAGTACTGTACTGTGTAGAGTACAGTACTGTATGGAGTACAGTTGTGATTTACCACAAGGTGTATTGTATGCTTTTAATTTTTGCATGTATGTCTTTCGCTAGCTTGTGCTGTATTAATCAAATGCTGTGTTCATATCCTTCATTTAATATGTTCATTGTTATTTAGTAAAATGACAGTCTGTGGAAGTAGAAGTCCAAAACGGTCTGAAATGTTGTCACCTTTCCTTTCTTTTCACGTGTGGGATGTGTGTCTTAATTATCAGCAATGTTATTGTGACTTACTTTCCACATAGACGTCACACTTATAAGTACGGAAGGTTTGAGGGAGAGAAGATTGCTTGCTGCTTCCACCATTGGGAGCCGGTCGGCCGAGCGGACAGCACACTGGACTTGTGATCCTGTGGTCCCGGGTTCGATCCCAGGCGCTGGCGAGAAACTATGGGCAGAGTTTCTTTCACCCTATGCCCCTGTTACCTAGCAGTAAATAGGTACCTGGGTGTTAGTCAGCTGTCACGGGCTGCTTCCTGGGGGTGGAGGCCTGGTCGAGGACCAGGCTGTTGGGACACTAAAGCCCCGAAATCATCTCAAGATATATCCTACCACAGGATTTTCTTCCTATTTTATTAGAGGCTAAATGTATTGTTTGGTACTAGATATTACAGTATGTTTGAAAACATTTATAGTACAGTACTGTAATTATGTTTGGTTAAACTTTATTTGATTATGCTTGTATATGAGTCAAAGGAGGCTTGCTGCCCTTTGGACAATTTTTTTCTATAGATGGTGATCTTATTTAATTTCTGTTGAGACGTTAAGCTTTGATATGACACTTTCCCATCTTTACAGAAGCGTGGCAGAACATTGGCCAAAAAGGCCAAGAAAAAGGGTCTATCTTTGGCCAAATCTTCAAACATCCACAAAAACAAGATGGCCAAACGTGGTATTCTCACTGACGCCCAAAAGAAGAAGAAGAAGCAGTTGAAGAAAGAGAGAAACCAGGTAAAATATGCAGAGCAACGCGAGGAGAGGAAGCGGATCAACAAGCTGATGGACCTTTATGAAGCTGGAGAAGAAGTTTATCCTCTCTCAGGCGAGGTGACGGGTAAGACCACACCACTCGGCTTATAACTGTTTACACTTGATAATCTCAATCTTATGGGCCCCTCCTCTTTTTCAAGTTAGGTGATCTTTTGACTTCAACAAATTTATTTCCTGGAAAGTCCAAACCGAACAAATTCGCTATTTTTTTGTTACACAAATTTTTTTTTTTGCCTCCACCAAAGCTGCGGCTTCTTTGTCTACAATGAGGTCATCCCCGCTGTATTGTTTCTTGGCTTTCAGCCGGGTTGGTCTGGGTGCTGGGTCTGCCAGGGTACCACATTATGTGTTGCATGCCATGTAGTGGGGTCCTGTATTCCTACCGAGTTCCCCCAGGTTATCTGGTAGAATTTCCTTGACTAGGTCATTCGATGTCAAGGAGGAAGACATGAAGGCTGGGACAGCAATTTGGGTGGCAGTAGACACCCAGGCCACTGAGCCTGACTGGAAGAGTGGCTTGTTTCCACTGACAGTCATTGAGGGAAAGGTTGACAATTTCTCCTAGAATGGTCTTCAGAAGGATGTCATACTCTCCAAGCTTTGGGCTGTTGTAAATAGGTTAGCCTTGGAAGGGATAGGCATCTAGTGTTGAGATAAAAGCATCATGATCATCGATGTCACTTATCCAATTTTCCATCCTCCCTAGGTGTGTGATTTTCATTATCATATACATATACAAATAATATACACACATTCATACATACATACAAATACACTTTAGGTTTGTATTGAGGTTCAACCCCAAGGTTGAACTACTGATCTTCTCCCAGATGTAACCCCACAACAGTTAACCAACTCCCATGTACCTATTTACTGCTAGCTGAACAGAGGCATTAGTTGTAAGGAAACATGTCCAACCATTTATGGGCAGCCCTGGCATTAAACCTGGCCAGCCCCGATTCTGAGTTGAAAAACCAAGCTAACCAGTAGGATTCAGTGGGATTATACAAGCCACTGGGTTGTAAGGCAGGTTGTAAGCTTGTTAGATTATACAAGCCACAGGGAATATAGAAGGGTTGGGGGTTATGCAAATAATTGAGATTGTATTAGGGACGTGAGTTATATAAAGAGATATAAACTCAAAGAAAAGAAGCTGGACTTGGTTGGGCACGGCAGAATGGGCCGACGGGCCTACTTCGATGACTCGTAAGTCTTATGCTCTTGTGTTTTGTGGAAGACGGGCTTCATGTAAGACAGATGGTTATTACACAGAAGAATGTAAATATAGATTTAATGGATGCATGTTGTGTTTATATTAGTGTCCAGGTTGTTTATGTGAACTCTGAAACATTTTGGAGTTGTGCACAGGAAATCAACACTCCCACTTGGACTAGTCGGTAGAGGGACAGCCTCGTTTCTTGCAGGGTTGCCATCCAATCTCAAGTGGTCTAAGTGATTGAGCACCAGTCCTTCATGCCATCCTCATATCCCTTCCAAGTGTTCTATAATCATATTGGCTTCCCACTTTTTCCTGATGATTACCTTACCTCATAGGAAACATTTAATGGTTGTAATTTTGAAATCATATTCTATGCAAACTTCTAAAAGTATTGAATGCTTGCAAAACTCATTTAGACACATTTTCTTCCAGGAGAGGAAATGATGAAGATGATAGACCCAGAAGATCTCTCATACATGGTGGATAAGTGAGTATCACACCTGTGCCTAGATCATTATTTTTACTGTTTACGATAAACATTAAGCCTATGTACAGGTTAGGTGAGCATTACTACTATATACAGGCGGACATTCTCTCTTGTAGTATAGATTTACAAGAACGTGTGGGAACTATACAACAAGATCGAATTCCGTGTTTTTTAAATCTTCTGGCACATGTATTGAGTGCAAGTTTGAACCCACCATATGATTTCAATATGTTCTCATATTCTCATTTGCATATTTAAAATTAACAGCAAAATTGTTCTTTACAATTCTATATACGTACTGTATTTGCTTTTTATATTTTAATGCAATTTAATGTTGTGTTCATGTCTGTCTCTGTAAGCCACATTGCAGTAATTTGTAAACTTTACTTACAGACAAAGTGTCAAGAGGAAGCATAAAGAGACGCAGGAAGACAGTGGCATCGAAGCATATGACGACGAACAACGAAGCTTTGACAAAGACCCTGAGAACCAAAATACGAAGCATCTTCTGCCATTTAAGTCGGACAAAGGCATTATCCCAAGATCCGTGGAAATTAAAGGTTGGTGTATGGTGCTTGGTGGACTAAAGTGTCAGATGCAGAGTTTAATGTGCATTATTGGACTGTTAGTACTCATCTTCGATATTATTGTTCTAACTGTTATCATCATGCTCATCATCATCAGGACAACCTTTCATTGTAATTTTGATGTCTGATTATAACAAATATGTTCACAGAAGAGTCCGAAGAAGAGGAGGAGGAGGCGGCAATAAGCGATGAGGAAACAAAAGAAACAGAAGAGGAACCCAAAGAGAAGTCCACAGTTGAATTTTTGGTAGAGAGGCAGAAGAAGCTGGAAGAGAAAAAGGTGAAGATCGGCTGCCTGGCCGCCAACTTCATAGAGGAACCAGAGGAGAGGGTATGTACCAATCTTCCAGGCCTAATATTTGGTTTACGTTTATCGGGATGACTTTTATTGCTAATTGGTATGTGCGTACATGTGTCTGTGTGTATATATTTGTCTATGTATTTCTTTATACAGTGTCTATATATCTCTCTATACAGTATATCACCATCTCTATAGCTCTCCCTGTATCTCTCTTGATAAGGGACGAGAATGGATTGAAACATTGTCAGTTTCATCTCACGTGTGGGTTTAGTGACATAAAAGACATGGGATCACTGGATTGTATCAAGCATAGACTTACATATGATGAGTTTGGGTGGATGTAAATAGCTGCCTTGTATGTGTGTGAATAGGAGCTGCCTCATTTGGGCCAATAGAAGCTGTCTCATATGGGCCAATAGGAGCTGCCCCATATAGGCCAATAGGAGCTGCCTTATATGGGCCAATAGAGCTACCTTGAATGAGCCAATAGGAGCTGCCTCGTATGGGCCAGTAAGAGCTGCCTCCTATTAGTATTAATATTAGTATGGGCCAGTAGACCTTCTGCGTTTTGCAATATTCTTATGTTCTAGCCTGCATTAACTTAGGGAGTTGTGCAGGCACATTTTGAACACGTCAGTATGTAGGCTTTTTTTTAAATGAGAGAGATGGTTGGATAACTTGATGGCTAAATATTTTTGAGTTTAACATGTTATTTGATATACAGTACAGTATATATATACATTTTCAGTTGTCGGGTCTGTCCAGTTTAGTGCACTTCATGGACGAGTCGGACCCAGATGTTGCCATCACCGTCAAGAAGTACGCAGCCCTCAGCCTGTTGGAAGTTTTCAACAATATCATTCCCTCATACTCTATCCAGACTCATAACTTGGAGGAAAAATGTGAGTCGTGATGTTGCTGCATGTTGTAGCTGGGGGGGCTGGGGGGGGGCCAGATCCTCCAGTGCCCCCTGGGCTATGAAGTCAGCTTTGTCTTTGTCACTGACACAGATAATGGTGGACAGCCTCTGTAGTTCTCCCAGGTCTGTGCCATGGGCCAACAATTATTCATTCTGCCTCCACCATGTTACCTGTTGGGTTGATGACACCTACAGCCCTGAATTCTGTGGGGTTTGCCCTCCCTATGTGGCTCTTCTGACCCTCCTGATGAAATTTTAGCTTATCGGGTAACTTTTTCTTTTTGGGTTTGTTTCACCTACCTTCAGAGATCTCATTTGTATTCCCAGTTTTATGCCCTAGAGCTGTGCCCCTTGAGGTTCTCTGATGCTATACACTTAAGATGCTTCCCATCTACCCGGTCATATCAGTCGTAGAGTTTTTGAGGCCTACCAGGTACCACAGCCAGAACCTGGCCCTTTCACAGAGGAGCAGCGAGCAGTGACATTTTGCTAACTCACCGAACAAGGCAACCAGAAAGTCAGCGAGTCAAAACAAACCACTGCTGTGTTCAGAAGAGATAGCCAAAGCCTCAAAACCTGCCTAATTAATAACCCCAACTATGCAAACAAACTATTGAATCTTTCACAACTCTTTCAAAACTATCATGAGCTTATTCACCCCACCTTCCCCCACTCGTTTGTGGGGGAGGGGGGGAGGGGGAGGCTCACCACCTACTGGGGTCTGAAGATGTCAATTCTTTCACTTGTATAGTGGGTCCTGGGTCTCCTATTTTCTGTGCAGCCTCCTCTGTTCGGCTAAGAGGTTTGGTGTTTGTCCTTGATGGCTTTTCCTTCCTGTACAATGCTGTGTAGCATGAGCATGGCTAGTTGAGTGCTTGGAGCGGCATGTGCTTAGGGTTACCTTTCCTGAGGGCTCTCTACTACAACCCATGCATTGCTGCCAGAGTTGTCTTCTCTGGAGTATTTGGGAGTTGCTTGTAGTGGCCCTCGCCCACGGTGAGTCGAGTCTTATTTATTTATTTATTTATTTATTATTATTATTATTATTATACTTGTTTCTTCTCTATCTTAACTCTGTCTTAACAAATTGCAAAACAACTTGAACACCCCACATTATGTCAAGAATGACAAGGATGGCTATGTAGAGAAATGAAAACAATTGAACTAAAATGTACAAAAATCTTTAAAATCCAGGAGAGGCAAATAGAGAAAAAGACCATCAGTGAAATAGAGAGGAATTTGAAATACTTTTTCTCCAATGCAAAACCTACAAAAATTACTTCATCTAGTATTGGGCCCCTGCTCAAGGGAGAGGAAACTTTCACATATAACAACAAAGACATAAATGATATTCTGGGATACAGTACGATTCAATTTTCAGAGGGCCCCTAAACACACTGAAGATTGATAACCGAATGTGTTACCAACATCAAATCATATATCAGATGTCACCCTAACCCCACTGAACTTTGAAGTAGCCATAGACCTAAGCTATGACATAGATACACAGGGTCTATGCACTTTTTACCAGGCTCTGATTCCTGGAATTCCATATTCATCAAGAATTGTACAGTACTAAAAACACTATTGCAGGCCCTAAAAATTTATTATCGACAACCTAGATACTGGTGGTATCCATGATATACTAAATACAACAGAGATGCTATCACTCAATAAAAAGAGGGAATAAAACAGGCAGAAAATGATTGACCTAATATCTAATATCACATATCACTAATATCACACTATTGGGCATTTTGTTCATTTGCAGCTGGCTTCTTTTCCTGGTGAAGAATGAGTCGGTTGGCTTCTGGAGACGTCCATTACTTATTGATGGTTGGTTAGGCCGGGTGTGCATCATGCACCGTGGCCAGTGGGAGCTCTTTGCCATTCTATTTGTGCCACCAATTCTACTTCAGTGGATGCTTTGTGTTTGGATCCTGTTTCCTGGGTTCTCTGTTCCAAGACTCATGTTTCTCGGGTCATCCACAGTGTTAATGAGTATCCAGCTTGCAGTCTTCCCTTGTGCCCACGATATTCTGAAGTATGGAGCTCTCACAGCTGTGTTCGTTAATAGTATATGTTATAGGCTTATATTTGGATGAGAGGGTTTTGGCAGCCCAAAATTTAATGAATGTTCTGGGCCTCGGTGGCCTTGGGTCGTCTCTGTCGTCTGGAGGTCTCTTCTTTGTCTTGACTTTAGCGGTTCTTCCTCCTCCCTGGTAAGATTCCATGTGTTCTTCCTTCTCCATGGAGAGTTAGTTTCAGGGAGCCACAAAGGCCTTCCCACAGAAATCCAGTGTTGAATGTGATGAAATGCCACTTTATGGGTGAGCCCCACTGTCTCCTTGATCCTCTCTCCCTCCCTTCTAGGTTGACAGGTAAGTTTAGTTTGTGCATCTGCTCCAAAACTGATTACTCAGACTTTAGAAGATGGTGGTACTTTCCCCCCTTTTCTCCCCAAATGAGTGGGGCAGGTGGGGCCAACGAGCTCATGCTAGTTTCGGGAGATCCAATTGTTTGTTTTCATTGTTGGGTGAGTTCATTAAACCAGTTTTGAGGCTTCCGTCTCTTCTTCTTCTTCTTCTTCTTCCTTTTTTTTTTTTTTTTTTTTAGCCAGTAGTAGTTTGTTTCAACTTGCTGACTTTCTGGATGCCTTCCCCAGTGAGGTGGGGAAATGTCACCGCGCCCTGCACCCCAGTGAGGGTGGTCAGCCTCTGGCTCTGGTCCCCGGTGGGCCTCAGAACTTCACAGCTGATGTGACCTGGTAGATGCCAATATACACCTTGGTGTATAGCTTCATGGAGCCACTGGGGCTCACCCCAGACATTGTAATTTCATTACATTCAATGTTGGTGCTTTAGATATTTTCTTTGTTTTTAACTTAATCGAAGCAGTGAGATATATGTACAAAGTAATCTGTGAAAGGTTTGATGTTAAATATATCAGAAATTCTTATTTGAAATTTCAGCAAAATTGTGTAGCTGGGAATGGCATCAATTACTGGCCTTAAAGCCAAAGATTCTATCATACTTATTTACTCAAAAAGTGTTGCTGCCTTTTAAATTATGCCGAGTTCATGTAATACCTGCATACATTGTGGTACAGTATTTCCAGTTTTAATATGTAGCTTTGAATCTAACCTAAAGTACATTATTACTAGTATACCCAAGTTGATACCCATTTTCCCACAACATAGATACCACTCGGTAGTCTTCTGGCTTGGTGCATTCACTGGATAATTACTTACTTTAATACACACTTTTTTTTTTTTTTACATTTCAGTGAAGAAAGAGACTAAGAAGTTGTACTTTTATGAAAACCACATGTTGTCAGCCTACCAGATCTATCTTAAGGGTTTGGAGAGTATGTTAAGTAATGACAAGAAGAAGATGAAGGAAACTAATCCATCTCTCAAGGTACATCATTGTAACAATTCCCGTTGCAGGGAGACAGGAAGCCTGTACTTAGGCTTATCCAGGTGCCCCCCTAGGCCAACTACTGACCTTCCTTAGGATGCAACCCCACAGTAATTTGCCTAACTCCCAGTTCCTTATTACTGCTAGGCGAACAGAGGCATTAGGTAAAATGTGACGTGCTCGTCTGTTTCAGCCCTGCCTGGAGATTGACAGAAATGACTGGGTGAGTTTCCTTTCACCTAATGCCTCTGTTAGCCAGCTTGTGGGGTTGCATCCTGAGGAAGATGAGTAGTTTGACCTTAGGAGGACCTTAATACAAGCCTAAATAATATATATACCCAGGTTTCCTATCCCTAACAAACTGAATGATTAAATTATTATTAAAAGTAATAAAATTGCTTTCAAATTGTTTATATCTAGCAAGTAGCTTAAGCATGCTAAATTTGGTAACTGGCAAAAAATGGGCTCTGAGAAATGAAATTGCTCTTACTTTTGCTAAGCATAGATTTTATTTATACAGGTGCCAAGGTTTACAGCATACATTCTCCTTGGCTTATCATATTGATACTTAACTATATTACTGGGGAGAGCCACCCCTTGTGACTCCCTGAAGCCACTATCACTGACAGGGTACCACTACTTGGCCGCATCAGCCGTGGAGTTCTGTCACCTGCCAGAGACCTGAGCCAAAACCTGGCACAAGGAGCAGTTACATTTATACATGTATGTATGTATGTACAGTATGTAACCACCGAGAGAACAACCAGAAAGTTATCGAGCCAAAATAAGCCACTGCTGGCTTCAATAGAGAACAGGCTTAAAAATCTCCGAAAGAACTCCCTCCAACTATGTAAACAAACAATAAAAATCTTCATGCTAGTTCAAGCTCTTTCACCCCGTCTTGCCACTTGTTAGAGGGAAGGAGTTCCCATTTGTTTTTCTTCTCAGTGGGTAGTTAGCTTCATTGAGCCACAAGAGGCTCCCCCCAGAAACCAGCATTGAATGTAATGAAACACCAATTTCTAGGTGAGCTCCCGTGGCTCCCTGACACCCTCCATCCCTCCAGTTCGTTGGGAGTTTGGTTGTATCTACCATAGAACTGAGGGTGGAGTAGCCCGCTGACTGTGGGCTGCCTCCCTCATCCACAAGTGTGGGAGGTGGAGCAAACGAGCTTGCGCTAGTTTGGAGAGATTTAAATTGTTTGGGTTACATAGTTGGGAGAGTTCTTTCTGTTGTTTTTGAGGCTATGGTCTATATTGAAGACAGCAATGGTGTGTTTTGACTTGCTGACTTCCTGGCTGCTTCTCCAATGATTACATAAATAAATACTGTATAGATAAGTTTCTGCTCCCTGTGCCTCTGTTGAGGAGGTTATCTTGAGATGATTTCGGGGCTGTAGTGTCCCCGCGGCCCAGTCCTCGACCAGGCCTCCACCCCCAGGAAGCAGCCCGTGACAGCTGACTAACACCCAGGTACCTATTTTACTGCTAGGTAACAGGGGCATAGGGTGAAAGAAACTCTGTCCATTGATTCTCGCCGGCGCCCGGGATCAAACCCGGGAACACAGGATCACAAGTCCAGCGTGCTGTCCGCTCGGCCGACCGGCTCCCTGGCCCCCTAGGCCCTCCCTAGGGGGCCAGGTTTTGCATCTGCTCTCTGGTAGCCTGTCAGCCGGGTGGACAGCGCTTCGGATTCGTAGTCCTGAGGTTCTGGGTTCGATCCCCGGTGGAGGTGGAGACAAATGGGCAAAATGTTTCTTTCTGCCTGATGTCCCTGTTACCTAGCAGTAAATAGGTACCTGGGAGTTAGACAGCTGCTATGAGCTGCTTCCTGGGGGTGGAGGCCTGGTCGAGGACCGGGCCGCGGGGACACTACAGCCCCGAAATCATCTCAAGATAATCTCAAGATAACTTCAAGGTAAGTGATAGAACTCCATGGCTGATGTGACCTATTAGTGGTACACTATTAGTGATAGTAGCTTCAGTGTGCCACCGAGGCTCACCCAGAAATTGACGTTTCATTACAATCTACACTGATTTTTTTTTTCTGTTCGCACACATTTTTCTGTCTGTATGCATATTTTTATTTTGTTCTTTGTCAGCAAATGGGACTGGTAGCACTGCGGTGTCTGGGGGAGCTGCTGACAAAACACAGCCACTTCAACTACACGACCAACATCATGCAAGCTCTCGTTCCCTTCCTCAATCATCACGATGACGATACTTGCTCGTTGGTCTTCTCGTACCTTACCAAGCTTTTCAAGGCAGATAAAGATGGCCGCCTCTCTTTTGAAGTTAGTCACCTTTATTATTTTGTGTATTTTTCAGGTACTTATATCATTGTTGAGAAATAAAATATTTTTTTTTTTTTTTTTTTTTTTTTTTTTTTTTTTTTATAGATATATACAAGAGTTGTTACATTCTTGTAGAGCCACTAGTACGCGTAGCGTTTCGGGCAAGTCCTTAATCCTAAGGGTCCCTGGAATACGATTCCCTGCCGCGAAGAATCGTTTTTTCATCCAAGTACACATTTTACTGTTGTGTTAAACAGAGGCTACAGTTAAGGAATTGCGCCCAGTAAATCCTCCCCGGCCAGGATACGAACCCATGACATAGCGCTCGCGGAACGCCAGGCGAGTGTCTTACCACTACACCACGGAGACTGCTAATAATAGTTTGTTTGGCTGCAATCAGACCATTTTAGGCCAAACAAAAGACAGTGTAGGGCAATACTGTATGCTCTTGGAAGCATCACATTTTGTAGGAGGTAATGTATTAATCTGTATTTTTTTAAGTATGACATGGAGGTTAGAAAATTACAGTTGCATGACTAAAATATTAATGTGCATTTTAGTGGGGTAATTAATAAGGATGTATGGTAGGTTAATTATTTAGGTTTTATGCAAGATGCTTATACAGAGCTTCTTGACAACAATCAATATTGCCTGTGAACAGGTAGTATTATATATGTTTAGCTAGCAGAATGTTCAGTAATATGTTGATTGTTTGGGATGCGTGTAAATGTACGAACACGTACCGTAGTACTGAACGGGGTGAGACTAGCTTGAGCTGCCTCGTCCCTTTGTGTGTATTTATATCTCAAAAACTTATTTCAATTTCAATGTTCAAACAGTTCACCAAATACAGTGTGGTGTTGCTGCTGCTCAAATGGACTGATTACAGTAGATCCGAACACTGCATCTGAAGTACAGTACAGTGAAGTGCATCTGAAGCTCTGAAGCATTCATTGTTCGTTGTTCCTTGTAAAACATTTGACTTCAAAAACCTCTTGAAGAAAATATTTATATTTAAATATTTTATCGATTTGTTTGTACTAGATTTGGCCCCAAATTCAGTCCATTGAATGCCCGAACTCATTCCTCTAAGAGATGTCCATTATTGACTCTTGTGATCAAACTTACGGCCACACTAGAACATTATTGTTTCGCTGCATCTGGCCCTCTGTAGGCCAAGCTTCTTTTGAGCATTGGTTCACTGTATTAATATTAATGCACATTATCTTGAGATGATTTCGGGGCTTAGTGTCCCCGCGGCCCGGTCCTTGACCAGGCCTCCACCCCCAGGAAGCAGCCCGTGACAGCTGACTAACTCCCAGGTACCTATTTACTGATAGGTAACAGGAGCATCAGGGGTGAAAGAAACTCTGCCCATTGTTTCTTGCCGGCGCCTGGGATCGAACCCGGGACCACAGGAGTGTTCTGTCTGCTCAGCAACCGCACCCACCGCTCAGCCACCGGCTCCCACGGTGCATTATGGATCAACAATAAATTTTTCTATGATAGTAATATACATTTTGATATAATAATACAAATTGATAGGCAATAAATATAATTTTGAGTTGTGTTCAGAAGATATCAAGCAGCATTAGAATTTGTTTGTCAGTTAGAAATTTTTTATTAAGTTGTGAAATTTAATTAACCTTGAAATGGATCAGCTAATTAAAAGTCCTGCATCGGAGTACACATGACAAAAAAAACAAAACAGCATTCAGTGTAATGAAATGCCAGTTTCTGACGAGTCCCAGTGGCTCCTTGAAGCTACTATCACTGTGTGTGTACTGTCTACTAGGTCGCATCAGCTGCCGAGTTCTATTGGCCTAACAGGGACCAGTACCAGAACCTAGACGCCTCACAGAGGCACAGGGAGCAGTGGCATGTAGTTATTTATGCCACCACTGGGGAAGCAAGCAGTGCTTCCCCAGTCATTGAGACAACCACTGACTGGGTTGTCTGTGGTTAATTTGAAGCAACCAGTGCTTCAAATCAAGTCAGTGAGGCAAAAACAAGCCACTGCTGGCTTCATTAGAAACCACAATGTCTAGTACTGCCAAAAGAACTCCCCCAACAATGTAAACAAATTATCAAAATTTCTCCAGCATGAGCTCATTCGTTCCCGCCACTCGTTTGGGAAAAGGAGGGAGGCAGCCCACAATCAGCCAGCTACTCCACTCAGTTCTATGGTACAGTTAGATGTAACCAAACTCTCTGACAACCTGTAGAGGGGCAAGGTGTCAGGAAGCCAACGGGGCTTACCCAGAAATTAGCACTTCATTACATTCAATGCTGATTTTCTGAAGGGAGCTCCTTAAGGCTCCCAGAAGCTAACCACCCATGGAGAAGGGAAAACAGGTGGGAACACACCAGGGAGGAGGAAACACCACAAGAGCCAGGATGAAGAAGACACACTTTCATGAGAGAGACAACCGAAAGCCACACAAGGACGCCAGGGCCCCAGGCACATGAAATGAGACACCATGCCTCCAAACCTCCACACATGAATATTAGCCCAGGACGTGTCCGTAAACACTGCCGAGAGAGTGGCATATGTCCAAACACCACATGTGCAAAGGTAGACTGCAGGCTGGCTAGATTTAATAACACTGTGGACGACCGGAGAAAAACCAGCCTTGGAACAGGGTGTCAAGGCAACAGAATCGACCCACATGGGATCCACCAAGGTAGAATCGATTGCACATAGGTGGCAATGAAGAGCCGCCACCGGACACAACACATGATGCACCCTTGAGCAAACCAACCAAACATCAAAGACCGTAAGACCCCTCCAGAAGGAAACCGGATTCATTCTTTGCCAGAAAAGAAGGAACTACTCTCAGACGAACAGACCGCCCAATAGGGTCAGAAAAACAAAACCCTGTTGCCGGAGAAAAGAACAACCCTCATCCACCCAACAACTGGAAGCTAAGGAAACCAAAAACAAAGATTTAAAGAAATAAGCACAGACCAAAGGGGACACTCTAAACCAAAGAAAAGAAAAAATGAAAAAACATTGTCTAGAGACTGAGCAGGCTGGAGGTAAAACAACACACAAGACAGCTTGTGAAACGGAGCCAAAAGCGTATCGACCCCGAATGACAGCGGCTCCGCCAGTGCCGCATGATACGAGGCGACAGTAGATGGCACAAGATGCCAAGCAAGAAAATACTAGGACAGAAAAAAAAGAGCACTGCACACTCAGAAACCGAAGAACAATGACAAAGAGACAGGAAGTAGCAAAAGGAGATCCATGAAACCTCACAATGTTGCTGTGATGGAGACTGCAGGTTGGACACCATCAACATTCACCTGATCACCATCTTATCTTGAGGTTATCTTGAGATGATTTCGGGGCTTTAGTGTCCCCGCAGCCCGGTCCTCGACCAGGCCTCCACCCCCAGGAAGCAGCCTGTGACAGCTGACTAACACCCAGGTACCTATTTTAATGCTAGGTAACAGGGGCATAGGGTGAAAGAAACTTTGCCCATTGTTTCTCGCCGGCGCCTGGGATCGAACCCGGGACCAAAGGATCACAAATCCAGTGAGCTGTCCGCTCGGCCGACCGGCTCTGACCGGCTCCATAGACATGCTTCAGAAATATCAGATGCGAAGAACAAGGAGTAGGCAGAACCAGTGAAATATGTCCCTGGGCCAACTCTCTAAAAGAGGCGGAGGCCCAGGAAAAAATGCCTGAGCTCAAACACCAAGGAAGCAGCATCTGAAACCAAGATTGAGCCAACCACCAGTGATCCAGAAAGAAACCCCTCCCCTGATAGGACTTGAACCTGGTCAGGGCCTGGAGCAACAGCCAGACTGGAAGGATGAGAGGTATAGGAACCCCCTCCTCAACCAGGCCACCGAAAGGCATCCACTCTGAGGGCCTTGTGATTGGCGAATGGTTCAACATACAATGGAAAGCTCTGAGACCATGTCGATGTGGGGCCTTGTAGCCTGGTGGATAGCGCGCAGGACTCGTAATTCTGTGGCGCGGGTTCGATTTCCGCACGAGGCAGAAACAAATGGGCAAAGTTTCTTTCACCCTGAATGCCCCTGTTACCTAGCAGTAAATAGGTACCTGGGAGTTAGTCAGCTGTCACGGGCTGCTTCCTGGGGGTGGAGGCCTGGTCGAGGACCGGGCCACGGGGACACTAAAAAAGCCCCGAAATCATCTCAAGATAACCTCAAGATAACCTCAAGATATGAAGAGGTCCAGGAGCCTGAACATCTCACAAAACCTCAGGAAGGAGGCAGCATTGGTGGTCCACTCCGTGGAAACAGGAAAGAACCTGGACAAGTTCCTTACCGTTTTTGATAGAGTTGATTGAGGATTGGCCTCACACGCGTGGGGTTCACAGTTCGAGACCCAGACAGTCCAGGTGCTTGGATCTGTTTACATAGTTGGGGGAGTTCTTTCGGCGGTTTTCAAATCTGCGGTCTCCATTGAAGCCAGTAATGGTTTGTTTTCACTTGCTGACTTTTTGATTGCTTTCCCATCACTGGCATAAATACTGTAAATGAATGGCACCGCTCCCCAAGCCTCTGTGAAGGGGCTGGTCTCCAGTAACTTCGGAATGCTGCAAGTGATGTGACCTAGTAAATGGTTCACTATCAGAGATAGTGGCTTCAGAGAGCCACAAGAGACTTACCCAGAAAATAGTTCACAAAACTAATGTAAAAAGAAAAAAAGATATTGGTAGATTCGAGCACACGTGGTAATTACAGATAGAAAAATTGGAGCTGTTTAAGGGTTAAATACAATACTATATGTACTTATTTCTGTCCCTTAGGTGGTGCAGCGGATAGATCAGTATGTACGCAGGAGAGCATTCCGAGTTCGACCAGAGGTTTTAAAGGTGCTTCTAGGGCTAAGAATCAAGGATACAGTGAGCTTGGATAATGAAATTGAAGCCAAGCTCACCGCCAAGCGGAAATTAACGCATAAAGAGAAGCTCATCAAAAAACTTGTTGACAGAAATCGGCACACGAAGTCTAATAAGGATGCAAAGGTTAGTTATATTATTTTGTACTGGTAAAAATTAGTGTTAAATTAGATAGTTTGGTAAAGGTTAGCATCATATTAAAGAGATTGGTAAGAGTAATCTTACCAATCATTATATTCATTATATTAGTGTTTGGTAAAAGTTAGCATCATCATGGCCAGTCGTGCCTGGCCGGGCTCAGGGAGTAGGAAAAACTCCCCAAACCCTCTCCAGGTATGTTTCAGGTATCACCTTAGATTGTGTGGTAAAGTAAACGACACCTTAAATAGTTTGCCAAAAGGTAGCTTCACGTTCGATAGTTTGATTTATATGAAAAAAATATTTAATGCTGTATTGGAACAATAGTGAAGTTGATAATTAAAGGTGATGAGAGTTGAAGTAGTGGACAGCCAAAGTAATGTACAGTAGTGTACAACTGGAAATTACTGTTTACAGGGTTGTCTTGCCTGACTGTTATCAGTACTGTCTAATAGGCATGGTTGGATTTTATTTTAGGGAGAATACCTGGGTCATACCTGCTTCCCTATCAGTGCTTATCTATCAGTGACTTGAGGAGAGTGAGCGCTGTCTCCTAGCTGTTTATACCTGGCACACTAATTACCCATCTCAGTATTATCATTGTCATCATATTTCTTTTCCAAGTTGTGGATGGAATTGGCTTTAACAACCTCTTCAATGCATTCCACTTTGCTACCACCTGTACAGGGAATGAGAACTTCCTTACATCTCTTTGACTCAATTGCATTTCCAGCTTCCACCAATGCCCCCCTTGACCTACCTCTTTTTAATTTAAACAGGCTTCCTTTATCCACTTTAACTATCCCCTAGATCTTGTTTATAGTTATCATATTCCCTCTGTTCCCTCCTCTAAGGTTGTAAGGTTGAGTTCCTCACAGCTGAGGCTTCTTGTTTCTGGTACTAATCTGGCGGCAATCCTCTCAATTTTCACGTTTCTGTTTATGCTTCATAAGGTATGCTGGAGCCGTATATTCAAGTAATGGTCTCACATAGGCAGTGTGTATTTACTTGAAATGCCACCTTGTTTAGACTCTTTAATAACATTTTTATGTTTGCACAGAGAGTAATCACACTAATGTGATGTATAAATGAGGAAATCCTCATCACGGAACCTCATTTTCTCATTCTTACGTTTGCTAACTTCTCACATGCTGCTGATGATATCCTGTTTACGTGAGCTTTTGGTTTTAGTGTTGGGATTATGTCTATCTACTCCCAGCTCTTTTTCTCATAGTGTGTTTCTTGTAATTGCCTTCCCCTTATGGTATATTTAAATACAGAGCTCTTGTCTCATCATTTTCATTTTCACCATGTGTGGGTTCTAGGAGTTCTCCTATTCCCACAAGCCCTGCCTGGGTCCAGGATTGACTTACGATAACTTGGTTCAACAGACATTTACTTGGATTGGGTCCAACAGACAAATACTTGGAGTGGGTCTAACAGATAATTACTTGGAGTGGCCAACTGGTCAACATACCCACTTCAACCCATTTGGTCCAGCACTTCTTGCAGGAAGGTGACAAATTGTTCATTCATTATTTGATGTAAACATTCTGTTGGTTGTTTTTTCTCCAGGCTTTCCGTAAAAAGAGAAAGTTGGAGGAACAAATGAAAATCATACACAAAGAGAGGGCCACAACAGTACGCAAAACACATCACACAAGTGTCATCCAGTTGGTGTTTGGCTTGTTTATCCACGTACTAAAGAGACGACCCAATAACAAGCTCATGGGAGTTGTCCTGGAAGGTCTTGCCAAGTAAGTACAGCAGCGATCGCTAGTAATCTTCTTACTTTTTTAGTGTGGCTAGCATGGAAAAAGAGGGAATGATGCTTGGCATATGTAATGTCGTTCAACTTCTCATGTTGCCTTCCATGGGAAATTTATACCGCTGTAATCTTGTAAATATCCACGGTAATATTTCATTCCTTTGTGTATTAGATGTAAACTATTTCACATGAATTACCACAAGAATTGCCATTCACGTATTCTCTTCAAATAAACTTATGCCATTCAGTCCTGTTTAATGCTTCTTTTCATGATTTGTCGACTTGCTCGTTATATCTGTCCACTTGTCTCTCTCCCGCTGTCTTAGAACTCACTTATATACACATTTTCTGTGGGGAGCCCCATCGGCTCCCTGAAGCTATCTGAACTGACATGTGCTATATTAGTTTGGGGTCATGAGTCACAGGAGTCCCTTTGCCTACTGGGGACCACGAGCCAGAACCTGGCCTCCTCAGAGAGGCGCAGGGAGCAATGGCCTATGAGCATTTTACATTTAAAGTATGTCATAATTGCCATCAACAGGAGAAGGCACCCCAGAAAGATAGGGGAAACATAACAGATCACAGTCTGGACCACATCCTACGTCCGAAAAGAACAAAAGAACTCCCGCAGGAAGAAGGTAGAAAATAAACAAGCATCATGTCATCCAACTAGCACTTCTGCGCTTTATGTGCCCCCCCCCCCCTTCCCCCTATGCCCATCGGTGAGAAGGGGGAACCGGCTCGGGTGAGCTGGCAGCACACCACCCAAGTTTTTTAACAATGAAGGCCATCGACTGGAGGGAGGGTGTCAGGGAGCCTCCAGGTCTCGCCCAGTAAATGGCATTTCATTACATTCAACGCTGGTTTTCTGTGGGAAGCCCCGTAGGCTCCCTGAAGCTAACTATTCACAAATAGGTAAAAAAAAATGGACTTACTCGGGATGCGGCAGCACTGCAGGTCTCAAGGCAAAGTAGAAATCGACGGCTGTAACAGGCTCCCCAAAACATCACAAGGCCGTAGAGGGCCCGGGATGTCACCTGGCAGCCAGGACCCCTGTTTGACACATCCAGGTTCTGGTTTGTGGTCCCTGGTAGGCAAAAAGAACTCCTATGACTGATGACCCCAAACTAATATAGCACATATCAGTTCAGATAGCTTCAAGGAGCCTCTGGGGCTCAACCAGAAAATGGCGTTTCATTACATTCAACGCTGGTTTTTTTAGCACTAATTATCCTTTCACTCCACATGATTATGCCATTTTGGGCACATTTCTTAGTCATAGGAGTCACGGAATTATGTACTTCACATTTTCCCATATCAATGTTATTCCTTATTTCATCCATCATTTAATATCCTAAATACTTTTCATATTGACCATCTCTGCTATCCTAACTATATTTCTTCTGTTTATACTGTACCTGGGTATCATGGCTGTGCATTATGGTTATAAGAATCACTCCTATGTGTAGCTACATACAGACATTAAGCAGAAATACATATACCTATTTTGTACTTTGTAGCACAGCCATAACACCACCAAAGTTTATACAATTAAATTTAACCAAACTCGATTCCTTCTTAATCATTTTATTAGATGAAAATGCAGAATTGTTCACAAGCATGTTCACAAGCATTCATGTTCACAAGCATTGTATTCTGAACACTGAACACTGCTTCAGGATATTATGCATAAGTAAAAACATGCAAAATAATTCAATCCCTTCAACTGAATGCATTAATTTTAAAGGCAAAAATCAACTATATATATATAGCAAAGCAGAGGGGACGAATTGAATTACAAAAGTTGTTCTTTGCCAGATTTGCACACTTGATAAACATAGAATTCTTTGCGGATTTGCTCAACGTTCTGGGTGTGCTTATGGCAGAAGGTAGCTTGAAGTTTCGCGAGTCTCTTCACTGCATCCAAGTGGTGTTTACCATCCTCTCGGGCCAGGGGGAGGTGCTCACCCTCGACCCCCACAGATTCTACAAATACTTGTACGCCAATATGTTCAACTTGAGTGCAGGTTAGTATTCTGTGCTTTCATTTTTGGGTTAGAATGTGTGTCATGTGTAAGAGTCTATTGTTAAACAGCATTTTTACTTAAGACTTTTTAATTAACTAATATGTCATGTATTTAAGAAATCCTTATTATTAGACAGAATTTCTAAGGGAGGTGGGGGGGGAGGGACCCATGGGGCTTCCTGAAGCTATCTCGCTGAGATGACTTATGAACTACTAGGTCACATCATCCATGGAGTTGTGTTTAGCCTACCAGGAACCAGAGCCTGAACCTGGCCCCCTCACAGGTGACACTTTGCCTAGTGGGCCACTAGCACCTTTCCCCTAGTACTAGTGGGGCCCCCTGGTACTAGTGGGGCCCCCCTGGTACTAGTGGGGCCCCTGGTACTAGTGGGATCCTAGGCCATGGCTTACTTGTACTAGTGGGTAATCCTGCTTCCTGTCCCTGACAATGGGAATTATTATATAAACAGGCTTCTTGTTCCCAACAATGGGAATAAAATGTATAATCTTTTTCAGGTACAAACCACGATGATGTCTTGTCTGCCCTCGAGTCCGTGAAGCAGATGCTTGTGGAGCGGCGTAAACGAGTGAGCATCGTGCGAGTACAAGCCTTCGCCAAACGCCTGGCCACTCTCAGCCTTACACTCCTCCACAGTGGTACCATTGCCTCCCTTGCCATTCTCCGTAGCATATTATTGGTGAGTTTGTTTTAGTTTTGAAGTCCACTTGACGTTGCTTAGCAGTTCACATGGGAAGGTGCCCTATAGTTTTTGGAACACCATAAGATACCAGATATCTGCAGGTCAAATGCTTAAAGTAGCTACTAGTTATATGTGAAAGAAAATGTGCAAGCCGCAAGTGTTCCATTATTACAGATGTAAAGATAATATATGTAGTGGTAGAATACTGAGCGATGATCATAGGAAAGAATGTGACTTGAAGTATGAGCTGCATCACAGATTGATATGGCTAAAGAATAGAATTTTGTTAAGGAGGGCTAAAGGATTAGTGTGTTTTCTTTCAAATAAAAGAGCAGAATTTCACATGAGTAAAAACAGGCATTTTGTAAAATGTGATGGGCTTAGTGGAAGATGAGCTGGAATTAAAACATAATTTTTTTCTTTAAATTAAAGACATTTAAGGGGAGATTTAAAGTTAAAAATTTAGGAAGGGAAAACATATTTGGTTGTGTTTTGGTTGTATTGTATAAATCCCTGGCAGCTAACAGTAAACAGTCACTTGTTTACTATTATGGGGGGTTCTGGAAGTTCTTCTACTCCCCAAACCTGCCCTTTGACTTGTGAGAGCTTGGTCAAATGCAGGTACTGTAATTTAATGTGATTTCTGAAGCAAAATATTTGGGGTTTCTGTTGAATTTTATGATGTGTTTACTTATTCATGCACATTTCTTTCAATTGAGTCAGTTCAGCCATGTTTGACTCCCCATTTTCTTTTTGCTGTGCTGCTAAGTGTTAATAGGCATGGTTAATTTGAATTTTTTTCACCATATTATATGATTCAAGATAAGTAAAGCAAAGTATAAAGCATGTTATAATTGTATCAAATATGTATTTTATATATTATCTCAAGCGCACTTGCAAGACGAGTGCTGAACCAACTGGGTTGTAATGGATATATGGGCCTGTAGGTCAATAGCTTTTAGATCAAGTTATCACAAGACAAGTCGGGCGTGGGGAATAGAACAACTCACGGAATCCACTCTGGTTATACTCCAAATAAGTGGACCTGGGTTTGAATCTTGCATATGATGGGACAACTGGGCACATTTTCCATGTGCTGTTCACTTGTGTTCATCCAGTAGTATTGGGGAGCTACTGGCAGAATAATTGTTGGAGTTTATTCTGGGGAAAAGCGTGAAGCTGAACCAGTTTCTGGCCGAAGTAATGTGCACATTTTGTATAAGAATTGTATAGTTTGTAAATTGCCTTTCAGAACCACCCAAGCACCGAAACGTTGCTGGAGACCGATTCTGAGGGAACTAGTGGCATATTCTCGGCAGAGGTAGAAGAACCAGAGCATTCTAATGCTGCCGCAACTGCTTTCTGGGAACTGCACTTATTGATGGTAAATCTTGGAATAATTTCATTATATTTGTAAATGAATCTAACAGTCCTACATTGACCTCTATTGCATCAGTATATTTATAAATGAATCTAACACTGGTATATTGCATCGGTATATATGTAAACAAGTCTGTCATCCATCTGTGCTATATTAGTCTTCTCAGCTTGGCACCTTTTGATAATTACTTACGTATTGTCCTCTCTACTTTCATTAAAATGTGTTGACTACTTTTATTACTTAAAGAAATCACATTAACTTGATAGCTTCTACTGATTTTCTCAATGATACATGAGAAGGATTCGAACCTATGCTCTGGGTACTCCCAAGCACATGCCTTAAACCACTACACCGCGACATGGTTAAAAGCATTGCAACTTGGTATTCAAATGAATTGTCTTGGGTTCCTGAGGCTTCCACTGAAGCCTTACCTTCAGCTTTAGGGTTTCACACAAGGTCTCTTATTCACTCTGGCTTGTAGTCTAAGAATTAGACCTCCTATGCTTCTTGTCAATTACACAAAGAAATCTCATTAATGTGATGTGTCAATGAGAAAATCAGTAGGAGTCATGAGGAGGATTCAAACCTTTGCTCTAAGTCTAAGGCTCTTGGAACCTATGCTCTTGGGAGTACCCTGAGCATAGGTTCGAAGCCTTTCCCTGGCTCGTACTGATTTCCTCACTGCTTTTATTATCATCAGTACCACTTAACTGACCCTAGACCTATACTTGGTCACTAATCAGTCTCTTCGAGCCTTATTTTTCACAGCCTTATTGGTTTAGCTTCATTCTTTATAATGTTATTTATATGGCTATAGCCCTCTTCTCCCCCTATCTTTCGTTTACCAGTTAGTTATATCCAAAACATTATCTCTCGGCCTACTGCGAACTTTTCACTATGTAGCACTTGCTGGTAGCGGGTCCCACTCTAGAGGACCTTGAGTGTACACATACATGTGACGGTCAAAGACGTGAACAAGTATACCTATTTAATGTAGAGCTTGCAGCATGTGGTATTTTGAAATTCATGGAAAGCTGAACAAATCCACAAGGGCCGTGACGAGGGTTCGAACCTACGTCCGAGAGGATCCAACCCTCGTCACGGCCCTTGTGGATTTGTTCATTTGATGCATCACGCTACTGTGATTTCTGTGTGTCATAGGAAGCTGCTTTTAGTGAATGTTTTTGAACAAAATAGTATACAGTACAGTGGTGTGTGTGACTTTGTCTCACAATCTAGGTTCACAAGTTTGATACCCAGATGGGACACGGATAGTTGGGCATGTTTCTTTTCACCTAATGCATCTGTTCACCTGACAGTTAATAGTAACCTGGGAGTTAGGCCGTTGTTGTGAGCTGCATCCTGGGGAAGGTCAATAGTTGGCCTAGAACACACCATGAGCCGAAGAACATGTTTACTGTCCCAGACAACAGGGGACAATACCAAGATATTTTTTCTATTTTTAATCATTTATAACTGTATATAAGGCATCAGTTTGTATTCTTTTTTTTTTTTCTTCTTTTTTTTTGAGATATATACAAGAGTTGTTACATTCTTGTACAGCCACTAGTACGCGTAGCGTTTCGGGCAGGTCCTTAATCCTATGGTCCCTGGAATACGATCCCCTGCCGCGAAGAATCGTTATTCATTACCAGTAATCCCATTTTTATGGAATATGAGGTTTCTCTCATTAAATTATTACTCTGCATAATGTGTACCACTTGGACTGGACAGTAGAGCGAGAGCCTTATTTCTTACAGGGGGCATTCAATCTCCGACTGTCCAAATGGTTAGACACTACATATTCTGCTTCTCCGTCCTATCCTAAATACTTTTCTTCATGCCCCTTCTGAGTGCTATATAGTCACAATGGCTTATTGCTTTCTCCTGTTAATTACCTTACTTTTAGCTTTTAAGAGATTGTAAGAGTTCTCTTGAAATCTCGATTTATGTTCTTGATTCCATGTTCACATCCTGAAGATTCTGTTCACTACTTTGAATCCCTGAAGGTATTCTTTGTTTCTAAAGCTTCACTCTTATGCTTACTTTTTCATTGTTTGTTAAAATGTATTTCTACATTTAATGTACATTTAATGTACATTTAATGAAGATAAATGTTAAAAAATTTCTAGCTTATAATCACTGAATTTCAAAACCTCTCGCATAAAATAATTTTGACAAACTAACAATCAACTACTCGGTAAATTAATGATCTTTTCCATTGGTCTCTCATATCATGTCTTCCATGTATCCAGTATATAAATAGAATAATTTGATAAATGCTTGTGTTTTACGATTATTAGCATTGATTTTTGGTAGCATGTCATTTGTTTTTGGTAGTCTGACCCATGAGTTGACATCATCCTAAGTCAACATTAGTACTGATTCTGAAATATATATATATTGCAAGTGTTTATGTGCAATTTAACCATGGCACAGTGGTCTTCACAATTAGTGTATTATATATCAAGAGTATTTTATAATTGATATAGGCCTAGGAGAGGTAAATAACTTTTTTTATAAATTTAGTTTGTCACCTGTATTTTGTACTGCTGATGTCTCATGTTATGTCTCGTGTTTCAATCTAGCGCCACTACCACAGCACAGTCCGCCAGATGTCAGAGCACCTACTCCATGGAGCTCCTCTCCAGGGTGAAAAGACTTTACCCTACACCCTTACCAAAAGGTATGCACACAGACTTTGTTTACCTCAGACAACTGTTTATTAAAAGGGAATACTTTATGAAATTATTGAATTGTTCACTTTTCTGGGAGGGCTTTCCATGGTAGCTCAAAATCCCGTTCTCTTGATTTGCTACTCTACAAACAAATGCAGCTGTTTGGCCTAACCAGAAATGTACGAACCCAAGCAATCTACCTAACCTATCACGGCCATGACATAGAAAATGACAATATTAAAGTACTGTAATTTTTACTTATGTTGCATTTTTAACATTGCAGTTTTGTTAAAAAAAATGCAAAATATTAGGCAGTAGGACGGTTGGGCTTAGGGACCCACCAGAAACAGACATTTCATTAAGATTGACACTTGATTTTTTTGTAATGGCATAAATGAAATGTTTACCACCACATTTTCTCCAACAGATCAGTGGACGATCTTTTTGAGGGATACGACCCATCAGAAATGAGATTTAATCCTGCTGTTCCAACTCCAAGCCAACACTTGTCTAACAGGTTAAACACCAAGACGAAAAAGATTGCAAAAAGAATAAAAGGTGAACATTGGATTACAAACTATATGACACAGGAGACTCAAAGTGTGCTAATGATGTGTGATTCGGCAAAAGATACAAAAATTCCACAGTGTGACAGCATGAACGGTTATCCCAAACAGAATGGACTCTGTTTAACAAATTCATCTCTCGGAAAAGTATCTTCGATTACCGAGCTAGATAATGCCAATTTTTTTAAAGGAATGCTGTTGAATATGAATATGGATCAAATTCCAGATCAAATAATGCCAGAAGAGAAACTTGGTGAAGACTTCACATTAAGTCTCCTTAAAACTGAATCTAAGTCATCATAATCGTCATTATCATCTCGATTCTCACTTTGGTGGAGTAATGTGGCTTCACTGATGCATCTGCAGTCAACGTCAGTATGTGACCTCAATCTGTACATTGGAGGAAATAGGGAAACACTATAACAAAAATAGGAAGCAGTATAAAAGAAAATAGGATGTGGTATGTAAAAAAAATAAGGGAGTTGTTAACAGAAAATGGTATCCATCTATGTACCATATCTTTCACACTACACAACATGACAAAGAACCAGCGTCATCATGCAGCTGGTTATCCACAGCACCATCTTGCCTCTTGAGAAGACTGGGTGTGTAATGATCCTTGGGAGCCATATACAAGCAATATACCGACTACACAACTTGCTGCAACCTAGCCTTGTTCACTACTATATCTTGTGTACAATTAATCAATCAATCCCTGCTTCCTATGCTCATTTCCTCAATGTTCCGTTCCTTTCCTCAAATTATCGTGGTACTTTCCTCAATCTTGTAATTTTATGATGTTTGTGCTCCATATAGAAATTTGACATTTTACCATAAAATCATTAAAACTTAAAGGTGCTTCTGGGGTTCTTTCTCTTTTTCTTTTTCTATTTCTCTCTTGAGACTCACTGGATGCTTTTCTTACAAAAAAAAAAGACTTGTCCAATGATATTTGCTTTTGCCTGTGTTTTAAAATATTTATAACACAGTTTGTCACAGCTTTCTCAGGGAGGGGGGGATATTTTTAAAGAAAACTTTGCAACAATTTTCATTTCTGTTCTTTAGCTCGAGACGTTTGGTTGTGTTGTGTACTCAACGGCAATTTTTACTGGGAAACTGACTCGGCTATTGAGAGTGTTTACGTTTGAGTGTTGAGCAAATGAGCACAAACACAGCGATCAGGTGCTGAATTATTCGAGGTGGGAACCATTTGAGTACCAAGGTTCCTCTGTATAATCACAGCTCTTTTACAATCTTGACTCATTACAACATCCCACTTCTGGTAAATTCTTTACACATGCTCCATTCCTTTCTATACACTGCATTTAATAATTTCTAAATACATTACATCTCATCAATACCTGCAGCAAAGTTTATGATATTCAGATTTAAACTTTTGGCAATTCCAGCCATCAAACTTTATCCAAGTTTTCATATCACATATTTTCAATTTTCTGTTCTCGACTTTCTCCCATGTTCATCTTTAATATTTCCATTGACCTCTTTACCGACCTTTCTTCATATCCATACTTCTCTCCCGTTTTCATAGTAAGTATATAAATATGCAGAGTAAATTACAATAACATGGCTGAAAATTTGACATTTTGTTCAGTCCTGGACCCTTACCAAGTCATATATAGAGTATATTAATTTATTATTTGTGTTTCCCTTCCCTCAAGACATGTATGTTATTTATAACAGGCAGAGTTCACAATCATATGGCAATTTTAATAAATAATGGATAAATATCATCTTCATATTCTTATCCTATTAAATGTTTTCACTAGACATTTTGTATTTCTTGTAGTTGCATTATTGGGTTGATTCTGTGATGCATCCACAGTCACCATCACTGGGGCCCTAATACATACATTATGCAATGCATCTGCCAATCTTTTGTCCATTTTAAAACCCTGATTAGAATAAGTATCCTAGTACATGTAAATCAGTAGAGCTGAGCAGAGTACCGGAGCTGTGGAAGGTTGCTATTGCGGTACAGATTTTTTTTTTTTTTTTTTTTTGAAGGGAGATAGATCACTTGTGTCGAACTATGAGCCAATTAGGTTAGCATCTATTGAGTAAAATTGATTGACTCATTAATAGCAGAAGCCAGTTGTCTTCATCTTGAAAACAATAGATTAATAAATGATTCACAACATAGTTTTAATAAGAGCCGTTCATGTCTAACAAATTTGCTTTCATTCTATTCCAGCATAATTTAGGGTGTTGATGGATAGGACATTGTGTATACAGTATTCATGTCATGACAAGAATAGTCTGGGAAGAGAAACAGGATATTTTGCCATGCAGATAAAGTGAACACATTGAGTCAGGAAACAGTTGATCCTGCATCAACATCGGCACGGAACACTACATAAAGAGTGGCAAGCAAGATAATGAATTTGGAGGAAACTCAATTCATTTTTTATACCATATAAAATTTCGAAAGAGAATTCAAAAGGGGGGAACATAGAGAATGGATGGAATTGGATGCCAGACCTACTTGCATACCAGGATCACAGATTCAATTACACACCAAAAGGGAACTACAACTATGACAGACAACTCTGCACTACAACAATCAGCACTGGTCACAACAAACACAATATGTCCACGCATAATGGACCTGCCAAAAAGTGTCCCAGTCAAACTATCCCAAATAGAGTAACCTCATTCACCTTTGCCAACATACAAGGACTAAAACAAAGTACAATTCATAAATGGCCTTCTCATTGAGTCAAATGCAGTATTCGGAGCTTTCACAGAAACTCATGCAAGGGAATTCTTGGACAGTGAGATCTGGATACCAGGCTATAATCTATACAGGTGTGATAGGGTAATTAGGTCACATGGAGGAGTGGGTTTGTATATTAGTATATTAGAGGAAGACCTTGTATGCTCAGTGTTCTTTAACGCTACAAACGAAGTGGTAGAGGTACTGGGAGTAAAAATAGAGAAAATGAACCTAGTTAATATTCTAATATACAAACCATCAGATGCAATGGATGAGGAATTCGCAGAACAGGTAAACAAAATAGAGAATAGCCTGGATAATTTGGTGAACCACCTGATATTATCTTCCTTGGTGACCTCAACTTGCCAAATCTAAAATGAATACAATAATATTATACCAGGAAATTTATCAGGACATAACCAACCACAGAGTAGAGAGCTTCTTAGATTCTGTGACAAATTTTCACTCAACCAGCAGATATCAGATCAAACAAGAAGCGAAAATATTCTAGATCAATGAAGACACAATCAGGGACATTACGATATCAGATACCACATACTCAGATCACAAGCTCATTTAAGTGCAAACTACCATCAATAATCAGAATAGACCTAAAACAATGATCAAGCGAGAGGGGTATTTAGTAAATTCAATTTTAATAATAAAAGGAAGGACTGGGAGACAATAAACAGGGAACTTACAAACATTCCATGGGAAACTGTTCTAAGTAATACAAGTCCTACAGAAGGAATAGAAAAACTGACTTCGGAAGAATATCAAGTCTGAAACATGTTCCTTTGAGGAAAGCCAGAAAGAGGTTCAACGTAGAAAGAGAAAACAGACGACACTATAAAAGAAGGAAAAACATAACGGAAATGCTTAAGCAGACGCGACTTTCCCCGTCAAAGAAGGAATAATTTAAACAGAGAGATTGAAAAAATTGTGCAGAAATTGAAACGCTCATATCAGACTGAAGAAAGGCAGTTAGAACAGAAAGCAATTCAGGAAATAAAGAAAAATCAAAAATATTTCTTCACATGCAAAATCAAAAGCATAAACCAATGATAGTACTGTATTGGACTGCCCTGTGGCACTCCAACGGTAATTGGTACAGTGGAAGAAGTTGTATCATTGATGGTTATGTATTGGTGTCTGTCACTAAGATAGGATCAGATGTAGTCAAGGGCAAGGTCTCGGATTCCATAATGCTGGAGTTTAAGTAAGAGGTAGTTGTGATTAACAGTATCAAAGGCTTTTCTTAGGTCAATGAAGAGTCCAATCGGAAACTCATTTTTGTCAAGGGCTGAGTAGATTACGTCAAGGAGACTAATGATTGCATTGTTGGTGCTCTTTTGGGACCGGAAGCCAAACTGGCAGGGGCTGAGTATGTCGAATTTTACGAGGTAGGAATAGAGCTGTTTGTAAATAATTTTTTTCAAATATTTTTGATAGAATGGGTAGATTTGATATTGGTCTATAATTGTTTATGTCCGCCGGATTGCCTCCTTTATGGACTGGCGTTACTCTTGCTTTTTTGAGGATATCAGGGAAGGTGTGACACTATAGATTTGTTGAACAGTAGGGCTATGGGTGTCCACTGGTGTCCCTGCCTTGGTTTTTAGAGAGTGAATGATGGACACAACATCTGCCGGGCTGATTGGTGAAAGGAGAAGAGAGTTTGGATAGCTGCCTGAGAGATATGTGTTAATATGTGTCTGAGTCTGTGGGATTTTACTGGCAAGATTAGCACCAACCGATGAAAAGAATCTATTAAATTCATTTGCCATTTCTAAATCAGTTGACGGTATACCCCCATCCTTGTAGAGTTTTATTTGGTTATGTGAGTGTTGTTTAGTTCCTAGGATACTAGAGATTGTTTTCCAAGTGCTTTTCATGTTGCCTTTTGCTTCATTGAATCTATTCACATAATATGCAAGTTTTGCCTTTCTTATGATACTGGTAAGCATTGATGAGTACCTTTTAGCTACTTCCTTTGAAACTAGGCCAATCCTAAGTTTCTTTTCATATTCATGTTTCTTGTTGATTGAGTTGAGAATGCCACTTGTGAGCCATGGATTGTTTAATCTTTTGTCAATTACTTGCTTGGTAAGAAGGGGACAATGAAGGTTGTAGAGGCTTAGAGTTTTGGAGAGGAAGAGGTTAGCTAATGAATTTATATCCTGGGTATTATTGAATTCAGAATCCCAGTTAATATTGTGAAGTGCATCTGTAAGATTGCCTAAAGCTGATTCACTGTGTAGCCTAAATGAAAGTTTCTTGCTTTTTGGTGGTGTTATGTCCATGTTCGCTATGAGAAAGGTAGGATAGTGATCAGTTGTTCTGTCGTAGATTATACCAGATACAAGGGGAGCTGTTATGATTGTCCATATGTGGTCCAAGGTAGTGGCTGATGTTTGAATGACTCGGGTAGGTTTGGTAATTGTGGGGATTAGCATACAGGAGTTCATGCTGTTAAGGAAATAGTCAACTTGAGAGCAATTTTGTTGACCCAGGTCAATATTAAAGTCTCCTCCCAGAATGATGTGGTTTTTGTTGAGATTGTTGTTTATAATAATATTCCTTAGGTTGTCTGAGAAAGAAGCTATGTTAGTATTGGGAAATCTATAGATGGCTCCAATAGTCAAAGAGGATTTAAGGGATTTAATTATAAATTGAGTAAAAGTATATTCACAGTAGTCATCTCTGTCACTAACACTGTTGCAGATAAATGTATCTCGGTAATGTATAGCTGTGCCACCACCTTTTTTATTAGGCCCACAGTTATGAATGGCTTTATAACCAGCTAAGTTGTAGAGTTGGGTATAGTCTTTATTTAGCCAAGTTTCTGTTAAAATAATGAACGATAAGTTAGTACCTAGTGCTGTGAGTAATGCATTTAAATTGTCAAAATGTTTACCAAGTGATCTAACATTTTGGTTGTAAACTGATAGACAGGTGCTATTTTGGAGTTTGTTTTTAGCCTGGTGTGCTGTGAAATACTTGCAATAATGATGATCAATGTGCTGGTTGTTGTAGATATGAGACAGAAGATTTTGATCAGGATCAATATCAGTGTGCATGGAGATGCAGAGGGATCACGATACAAGATACACGATATAGCAAAACACAAGAATAAAAGCAAATACAATAAAATAGTAACAATTTAGAAGTAAAATAAAGATACAATAGATAGCCAGGAAGGACACAGAAGTTACATAAAATAAAAAACAAAAAATCAGTAGAGACTGACAATATAAATGTAAAATAAAAAATAATAAGAAAAATAATAATCATAAAGTAAAATGATCTTGAAGATAATTAGCTTAGTAATGGTTAATTAAAATCCTATAATTGGTATGAACCTAAGAAAACAAAGTGAGCTCAAATAGATAATTCAGAGAAAAAAAAAAGATGACATGTAAATCTAATTAAATCTTGAAATTTACTCTAATATAAATCTAAGTGTAAAAATAAACAGGGTGGGAGTATATTCATGTGGAAGATTTTACTATGATACTGAGGTAGATGCTTATATAAACAATTATACTTTTTAATTAATATTGGTTATAGAATTGTCTATAACCTGTGACCTGACCCATGACATGACCAGTGACCTGACCAGTGACCTGACCAGTGACCTGACCCGTGACCTGTCCAGTGACCAGTGACTGTTTGGCAAGAACAGAGGACATTTGGACAGGCAGGTTTGTAAACCTCATCTTGGAGACATTCATGTATCAACACGTCCAGCAGGCCACAAGAATGAGGGAAGGACAAGTTCCGTCAGTACTGGATCTAGTATTCACCAGGAAAGAAGAGGAGGTATTTGACATCCAGTACCTTCCTCCCTTGGGAAAGAGTGATCACGTCCTCTTGGACATTAAATACGCTATGCGATGTAATCTAGTAGAGAATGGGGACAGTGAAACACTTGTTAAACTCAATTTCAAGAGAGGACGCTATGGGGAACAATAGACATTTTTTCATGGGTAAAATTGGACAGACTTGTTGCTAG